CACAGTCATGTCATTTACTTACATAAACTGAAGGTGAGGCATCTGTAAAAAARTGTTTTCTTTAAGCTTTGTAATGCGATTCCTTCCAAACATCCTACAAGATCAACAATGTCAGAATTAAGGGATCTTTCTTGGAGTGACAAGCTAAGCTTTATCGTATTCTGGGTTAGGGTTTTTGTTTTGCAAGGTATTATTTAGCTCYAGATTCACTATCCTTGGCTGTTGCTTTATTGTCTTCATGCTTCAGGTGTCTACCACAMCAAGAACGAGCCGTAATAAGGAAACATCTTCGTCATCTTGCAATCACTATTTAATGCAAGTTAAGTCTTATCGAGTAAATTTGGTGACGGTAAAGGTGACGTGCCGTGACCAAGGTTTCTGATTGGATGACGCGCGCTATGATTGGTTTAACGGATGTACCGTGACCAGTGCTACGTGCCGTGACGTTTTACATTCATATAAAAAAACCCTAAGATCTTACAAGGCTGCAGTATTCTGTGGCATATTTCTCGGTATAACTGTCAACTCTTCTCCAGCAACTATGATTCTTTTTGGAATTTYTTGAGTGAACGAACAGGTACAACTTGATGGACAATCTTATGTAAAAAAGAAAGAGGCATCGAGTTTAGATCATGGTTGACGATTGCTGTCAATTTAATGAATTTAGTAAACCCTGTCATTTCAATGTATTCAGAGCACATCCTTTGACAATGAGAGTTAACTAGGGGTYTGGCTCTGGAGAACTGGATGCATGCCATATAAATGAATAAAGATGAGTGTTTTCGATGCAAACCTTGAACAGCCATGCAGCTATCAGCCTCTTTAGAGGTTTCTGGTGGTAAAGACAAAGCATTAAAGGTTATTAAGAACTCTTGTTAAAACGTTACAGTTACAGTAAGTGCCCCAAAGCRACTCCAATCGAGATTGATTTTACTGACCCTCAAGATAAGTTCTTCTTGGTTGGCCTATGAAAGCTGCTCATGTTTATGGCTACGAAGCCAATCATTCGACTCAAACACATCCCAAATTTTATATTAGATGAAAACTGCAAATAACCATGTATCTCCGCCATTATGCCAGTATTTTCAGCGGTCGCGCCCCACGCGCCCCAGGCGTCCTGGACTRCCATTGTCGTTGTAGTTTTCTTTATTTAATAAACCCTCATTTATGTTGAGAGTTTGTCGACTTTTGCACAACTAACTGGCGCTTCTTAAGCATAGCAGAACATGCTAAAAATTTCTTACTTACTGCGAGAAGAATAGGACATTCTGAATCCARAACCCCTAGCCAATTCGTTTGTTTTGAAAAGCAAAATAAGGTTGTTTGAAGACGTCTCAAGAAACAACGGAAAAYGATCTCCACAGAACCTTCCAAGACTCTTAGCGTTACCATGCAAMCCATCATATACTGTGACGTTATCGTTTGTACAACTTTGGCTGTACTCGAGTTCGAATGAGTGGATAGTCAACCGGATTACTTGTCCTGGAGGTCTTGATACTTGCCATCTACAGACAATGTCATTTGGATAGAGATCAGGATAATATGGCGAAGCAAATGTTCCGGACTGACTTGTCAAGTTAAGCTGGCAAGCTGTAATGGAAGATGCAACAAAATTCACGAAGCTGAAAATCACAATTACCCAAAACTTATGTTGGACATAATATTATCCTAAACGAAAATATATCTCTTTTCCAAAAGAGCGGTCTTTCTATGAGTGGGAAACGATATGGCAAATTGGTAGCCAAGGCTTTGCCGTATGCCTAGGCACAACCGTAATGTACGTGATTGGATTAATAAGTGGTACACAATCAATCAATCAATCAATCAATCAATCAATCAATCAGTCAGTCAGTCAGTCAGTCAGTCAATCAATCAATCGTTTATTTAAACACGTGTCGTCCAGGAGCTGGTTAAGCTCGTTCAAAGTACGAACGTGCGATAATGATTACAATCTAATTAGAAGAAGATATATATATATATATATATATATATATATAATGGGGAGCCATTTCAATTAATGTTACAGCATGCCGTACAGTGTACGTGCTATAGGTCAGTACCGTATGCTTTCTACTCGTAATAAAAGCACTCTAGAGCATGATAGTATACATGCTTTTAGTACTTTGAGTGCTTTTAGTACGAGTAGAAAGCATACGGTACTGACCTATAGCAAAGGCAAACTGTGCTTTCAATATTTTTTACCTCGTTGCTCGCCATARCTAAATTCAGTACAATATCCAGGCTTGATAACGTATCCACCAAATCCAATAGATCCTTGTCCACTGCCAAACAAGGCTTTAATCACAACCTACACATATAAATGTAAAGATCTATTTAAAAAGAAACGTTGTAGAATGTCGGAGATGTGAAATGGGCGATCTGAGACTAACCAGAATTTTGGTGCTTTATATGTTTTCTGGCTAAAATACGAAAAAAATCACATTCCTAACTTGAAGGTCGCGATCATACTTCATATTCCAATCTTAAATGAAACTACGTTGTTTGGCATTGAATATACACTACGTTTTGCAGCGTGTTTCTCAATCTCAAATTTCAGATTTCAGATTTCAGATCGGCGACACCTTTTTATAAAATAGGTCAGTGGACATTCTATCATTAACATTTTCTTGCCCTTGGAATATGAAAATGTATGTTTAACATTAGGTTTGATCAATTGATGATAAATAGCTATAGCTATAGACATTTTTTTCTTCCATTATGAAATCTTATACTAATGATAATTTTAAAGTATCACGTATTTATTAAGCATTTTCCCGGTATCTTTCATATCTATTGCTCGTCATAATAATATTTTACGAATAATAATTACCTAATTTATACAATCATTCATATTTATAATATATCATATGTGTTCGAGAGGGCTTGTATATAGTTTGCTGCACATGGCCTGGCGTCCCCTGGAACAATGGCTGTTTCCATGGTGATGCATGTTGCTATGTGTCTTGGTCCAAACCCTCCCGAAAACTTGAACACTTTGCCGACTTGTCATAAAAATAATTTCATATTCATATTTGTATTTACATCATATGTTTTCAGGAAGGCTTGGATCAGGTTACACTGCACATGCACCTTGTTTCAAAACTTGAATACCTTAATATGTATTATACATATTTGTAATTTTTATCAAATTTTACCCTCTAATTTATTACCTTTTATGATGTTTGTATTTTTTGTTTAATTACCTTTTATTATTGTAATATATCTCTATATTTTTGTTAGRGCCGTAAGGGAGATTACAGTTTTCTGTAATTACGGTTCCCTCTTTCAATAAAGTGTTRCTACTACTAATACTACTACAGCTTACTGATACCTCAAATGGACGTAAAGTTGTGATAGAAACGCTTGCAAATAACCAGCCAGGTACTACTTGACTATCAGAAGATCCCCACAGAAACTGATCTGGAGAGTCGCTGATATTGTTTGTCTCGCTTTTATAGATCTTCAGGGACAATGCTGCCTTGCCTATCAATCTATAGCGAAACTTCATACACAGGCCCGTGTTCTGGACATTCCTAACATCGCTTCTGACTAGAAGAGTGCTGTTACTTCTGAGCTGAGCGTTCACACTATATGTTGTAGTGATGTTCTTTATAATATTAAATCCTTCTCCTTTTAATGACAAGAAAGAAAATACAGAWATCAATGGAAGTACACGATCGCTACTGAAAACTAACAAATCTGTAGAATACGAAGCATTGCAAAATCATGCTTGGATGATTGGTATGGTACAAGCATGGTAGTGCAATTCCCTTTCACCTCTTGAGACTAGGGTTTGAAAGCGGGACTCGAGAAATCATACGCGAGTAGTAGGATTGTTTCTTGATTKGAGGGTGTCTCCTTGTTCACCTTATACATCCTAACATTTTAAATTCTAATTCCATCTAAGAGTTTTGAGTCTTGACTTYAAGGCAGCTCAGAGATGGCTTCAGGGTACAGGGTAAGTTTGTTCCTTCGTTCGTTTGTTTGTTCTTTTTCTTTATTCTTCTTGATTTTTAAGCCTGTTCACTTATATAGTGAAGGAAGGTACGTGTATTGTAACTATTCCCATGAAAAGGATAAACTATGGATGMTCCATGGTAAACACACTGTTATTCTGACTTACCGCCTGAATCGAGGCAATTAGGAGGACTAGTCAGCATAGAATAACGAAGCAAGGTGCTCCTAAGATCAGACCAAGCACTGATGTCACCCTTTTCAATATTACATCCAATAGATAGATGCTTTACTTCATCACGGTCCATCGGGATACTCCATATGTTCAAGCCACTCATGCTTCCTTGGAAACCGTCCCCACCAATAACTAAAGTACCTAGCCCTAGATGGGGTGATG